GCGGGGTGTAGATATATATATGTGTATATATATATATATATATATATATATATATATATATATATATATATATGAGTATTTATAGATATTTATAGAACTGGGCAGGAGCACGACCACAGAGGGGCACAAGTTTTACCAACGTCACGCCTGGATGTGTCAGCTCACCACTACAACAGACTAAGTCACAGATGAAGGGGAAGCTCTGTGGCTGGGTAGCCACTGTCAAGTCACAGAACAGCCGTCCAGGCAGGCTTGGAAAGGGAGGTCTCCGAGGAATAGGAGGGATCTGGTTAGAGGTCGAAGGGGGGCCTGGGGCTCTCAGGTCGGGATGGACTTGCCTGACCCGATCGGCTGGCAGTTGGAGAGAAAGCAAAGAGAGAACGGGAGAGAGAAAAGGGGGAGAGAGCTGGTAAGGCAAGGGCAGCCTAGCCCGGCAGTCGGGGGAGAGGAGGGCAGGGGCAGAAGACCCTGGTGTGGGCAAGGGTTCAGGAATAAAGAGAGATGAGAAAGGGAAGGTAGAAGGGCAGGAGATGGGCAGGGGCCAGAGCCTCACGGGGGTCTGGGGTAAAGGCTGGGGCAGCGCCCACCCCTCCACACACGCTGGTCTCTCACACACCACCAAGCAGTGCACCCACAGCTCCAGACACGTGCTCGGCCCCCTCTGGCTTCCCTCTTCTCTGGCCCCCTGTCTTTCAACCCACTGGTGCAGGGCCATCCCTAGCCTCAGGGAGTATGGGGCCGTGAGCCCCACGAGACAGCCACCAGGCCCGATGGAGAAACACACGAGAAAGAACACTGAACCAGGAGGGCAAAGCTAACAGAATGGCTGGAGGGAGCGCTAGAGGCCCCTCTGGGTGGGCAGAAAGCCCACGAGTCCTCTAAAGGGACCCTGGGGAGGCAGGGAGGGCAGGCGGCCGGATGCCAGTGGCCACAGGCTTATAAGTCTAAGAGGGGAGCCTCAGCTGGTCGGGGGACCGCAGGTCGCGTAGGTGAGGCTGGGCCCTTCCTGCTGGGGAAAAGCAGAAGAGCAAGAGTCAGCGCAGGTGCAGAGTGGCAGGCAGGCTCGCTGGGCGAGTTTGGGGGCCCAGCTGGGGTGGAACTCAGAGAAGCTGGCTTGCCCAGGTCCGCAGACACTGTCATCCCCTTAGCGGAAAAGTGGAGGTCACCCCTAGGAGCAACAGGCCCAGGTGGATGAGCCTGCGGGCCGGCTACGGTGCTCCACCTGGGGCTGAGGACGCTGCCTTCAGTCCTGCACCAGCAGGAGTGACAGTACCGTGGAGGCAGGGGAAGGGGCGGTGTGACCTGCCTGGCCTGTGAGCTGTGCTCTGGGCTGATGGTGGGGGGGACACTCAGGCTTTCCCAAATCATCAAATAACCAGAGCCTTCACCCCCAGCTGCTGCTCGCTTGCTGGCTCGATAAAGGAGGTGGGATTTTGACTTCCTCTGCCCTATCGTGGATTCGGTTTCCAGAGCTCCCAGGCTGGGAGCTGGCTGCCCTGCCCCCGCAGCAGGGCTCAGATGGGGGGAATGAGTGTGGCACCCCAGGGTGAGATGCCAAGGCCTCTGGATGCCTGAGTCCAGCCCTATACACACACCCCCGCCAAGCTCCCTGCCCCTAACACCATGAACCATGAGCTCTGTGCTTTCTGACGCCTCCAGAGAGCACCCAGGTTTGCCTGCTTGGGTGCGGAGCCTGTCCCAAGACCTCCGCAGGCTCAGCCATGGAGGTCTTGGGCAGTGGCACTGAGTCCCGAGGCTCGCTGAGAAGGGAGGTGAGAGAGCCAGCTGGCAGCGAGGACAGAAAGAGGAAAGAATAAGTCTGGAGCTGCAGAAGGGAGAGGGAGGGGGCCTGCCTCTGAGGTCCCAGGTTCGCCCTGCAGTGTGGAGCTGGTGCGGCAGGGGGCAGACACACCGGTTCATGCAGCGGTCGGAGAGGCCTGTACCTACCGTGGCTGACGCTCCTCAGGGGTCACTGATAGTGATTCTGAAAGACAGCACGAAATCAACGTGGCAGTTCACGCTCACGGACGGGTCAGGCCTGGGGGTGGGGGGACACGCACACGCACACGCCCGGGCGTGCACACACATGCGGAGAGGCCCCATGGCCCCGCATGCACACGCTGACACACATGCCCACAAACAACACGCATACACCCCACCCCCCAATGCCCAGCAACCTCGCTGGCCGGCACGTGCAGCATGGATCTGGGGCATGCAGCCACTTGGCACACTGAAGCACACGCGGGGGCGGAGTCACAACACAGAAGCTCGCCCCCACACAGGAGGCATTTGCACCAGCTCCCTGCACACTCGTGCCTGGCGTGCTCAGAGGGCCACCTGCATTGCTCCAGAAGGGACAGGTCTTGCTTTCTTAGGGTCCAGGTGTCATGTCTCCACCCAAGAGCCTTCCATGGCTCCCTGCTGCTCACAGCACTGAGTCCCAACAAGTCAACCTCTTCTGTGGACTTTGAAGGGTCTCCTACCTGCCCCACCTTACCCAGGGCAAACTTTATTTTCTTGTTTTTGGCCGTGCTGAGCGGCATGCAGGATCTTAGCTCCCTGACTAGGGGTCGAACCCGTGCCCCCCGCAGTGGAAGTGCAGAATCTTAACCACTGGAACCTCCAGGAAGTCCCCAGGGCAACCTTTTCTTATTCTTCCTCATTCTACCTGCACTCTGCTCTGGCCAGCAGCTCTCAATGCATTCCACACTCAACCTTTGCCCACCTGCTGCTCCTTACCCAAATGCCCTCCTGACTCCTCACCACCTGAGCCTTATCTCCATCAGCCCTGGGATCTCACCGAAGTCAAGCTGCCTTGAAGCTCCCCAGACTGCTCTCTCCTCTGAGGCTGTGACTTCCCATGTGTCAGCCAGACTAGAGTCAGAGCAGGTACCAGATCTTACAGTTCTCATGTCACACCTCAGCACAGGCCTGGGCATGTCAAATACCCTTAAGAATCTGAATTCACATTGGAAGTTAGCAAATAGTTCCTACAGCCACTTTTGCAGTTAATGTGGCATCCTTATAGCCACTGTCTCCCCTGATCCCCACACCAACCCTGGAAGAAAGGCAGAATGTTAAATATCATTTGGTAGAAGGGAAACTGAGGCCCTGGAAGGGAAAGTGACTCGCCTAAAGGTCCACTCCAGTCCAGTGTCCCTGACCAACACCACGCTGCCTGCTTTACCCCATCTGCCTTGGCCGTCAGGTCACCATAGAGCAAGCCCCATCTCTGCTTCACTGTAGGTTCACGGAGGTTAGACTCACGGCCCTACCCTCCAGCCATCTGGAAACAAATGGATATTATTGGTCTGATGTGTTCTTCCTCAGAGAACATGGCCGGTGGAAACAGGGCAGACTGAGTTAAATATCAGAGTGAGCTTCCTTGAAAGAAGGTCATGGATCAAGAAGGCAAAGGCAAGGGATGAAGTAGAATCCTTTCCCCTGCAGATTTCTGGGAATGGGGCAGCCTCTACCCACTCCTGCCCGCACACCCACCACGTTGGTCCAGGCCAGGTAGGGCCGGAGGTGAGGGGAAGGAAGGAAGCCATCAGGCTGTCCCATGGCTCCCAGGCCCCTTTCCTAGCTGCTCCACGTCCTACCGCATGCCTGGGTGCCATTCTCACACTCTCACATCCGTGTGCACGCCCACACACACATCACACACCTTGCTGGTCACACAGTCACAACCCTCGGGGACAGGTCCAAAGAGTCAGGACTGGGAAGTGCGGGCACCAGGGTAGCCCTGAGTGTAACTGAATAAAATCTACCCATCCAGAGAGGATTTGGGTTCAGATCCTCAGACCTGAGGCAGGCTCACTAGGAGCTGGGAGACAGAAGTAGAGGACGGAATGGGAGAGCGGCTAGAAGGGGAAAGGAGAAGGGAGGCAACGCGTGGGAGAGAGAGAGAGAGAGAGAGAGAGAGAGTGAAAAAGGAGGGAAGCGCCATGCAAGTGCTGGAAAGAAGAGGGCAGGTGGGCTGAGCCCCACGGCACCCTCCCCAGAAACGACCACCTGCGGAACTCAGCGCTCCCTGGGGGCAGGCTCCGCCAGCCCTCGGCCACACCCCCGGTGGCTCTGGCACCCACGGTCCGAGTGACCTGGACAGAGAGGGCCGGCTCTGGCGACCTGGGCCGATGCTCCGGAATCCGGCCCCACCTCCCTCCCGGCCACGCCCGCCCGGCGGTCTCTGCCGCCGCTTTCAGCCCCTACTCACCTGGGGACCCCGGGCGGGGCGCGGTTGGGGCGCGAGGGCACCTGGGGGGGAGGACCGAAGGGGTCAGGGGAAGCCCCCGGCCTGGAGGGCACGGGGGGCGCCCCCCCTAGGGCGGACCCAGCAGGCGGAGGCCCAGGAGCAGGGCCCCGCGACCCGGGCCGGGCTGGGGGCACCGCGGGGGCTCGGCGTTGCGGTGTGGGGCTGGACGTGGGTGACCTGCGGGCGACAGGGAGCGAGGGACAAGGAGGGGAGAGAGATGAGCGGCTCCGCCCCACCGTGAGGCCCCGCCCCCAGCTGGGTGCCGGTCACGCCCATGCGCGCAAGCTCCGCCCCTCCGCGCCTTAGGTTTTCGCCGGAGTTTAAGCCCGCCCCCAGAGGCTCCAATGTTCCAGCTCCACCCCTCCCGGCAGCCAGCTCTCCACGGCAAGCCCCGCCCCGCGATAAGCCCCGCCCCTCGCTCCAGGTGGGAGCCATCCCGGTGACGCCGGCGCGCCACTGCCCGGTCTCGGCCCTCCTCCAGCGGGCCCCGGGCTGGGCGGCTTTGGGGCCGTGGGAGCCGGCCCTGGTACCTGCGTCCAGCCGGTACGCTCTGCACCTGCAGCCAGGAGTCGTCCACGGGCGGGGGCATGGGCGTGCTGACAGTGGTCGTGTTGATGTCGCCGATGATGCTGAGCGCCTCTTTCAGTGCGTGGTACATGCGCAGCATCTCGTCGCGCCGCTGCGCCTGCTCGGCCGACTCCTCCATCAGTGTGTTCTGGTCCCCGCACGAGTACAGGTTGGCCAGCAGCTCCGAGAAGATGAATTCCTTGGTCTGTGGGCGGGCAAAGAGAGGAGAGGGCTGGGACCTGACGCCTGTACATATTTGCCCTCCCCGCCGGGCCCTACTAGCTCGGGGATGGGGCTCTGCCACTGCCTAAACTCAGAGATCTCCCTTGCTTCCCTGCCTCCCCGCTTGCCCTTTTTCTCAGATGGTCCAGAGAAGAAAAGTGAACTGTTCAAGGTCATAGATCTAGGAGAACACTCAGGGCCTATTATGCACAAGGACACCTGGTTACTCAGCTTATTTCAGCCTCAGTTTCCTCAGCTGTAAAATGGGGTAGTTACACCCTTTCCAAAGACTTGTATGCTCCACTGGACCAAAATAAGGAAGACGACAGTTTAAATTTTTCTGAGCCCTTGAGTAGCAGGTGTGAATGTGTGCCTGGACCGGGTGAAATGTGAATCTCTGTGTATAGGGCATGGGTTAATGTTCTCCTTAAAAATTCCCAGATGTTACCTGGGCCAGGCTCTGGAATATTTGTGGAGAGATGCTGAGGTTTTTTATGCCATAGGCCTGTGTCTCATTTATTCGTTATCTAAATTTATGTTGAGCACCTACTACATGCCAGGCACTGTGTTGTTATGCACTTTATATTCATTTAATCCTCAACTCTATATCATTATCCATATGTTACATATAAGAAAACAGAGGCTCAGAGAGGGTAATTCGTTTGCTCAAAGTCACACAGGGAATTTGAGGCAAAGCCAGGATTCCAACACAGTTCTAATTCCCCTCAGGGCATGCTTTTTCACTAAGCCATGGGTGGAAGTGGTTCCGTGGGGTGCGTATCTCAAAACAGGGTGTGGGAGATCTCAAAACATGGTCTGGGAGATCTCAAAACATGGTGTGGGAGATGAGTTCTCAAAAGATGCATATTCCTAGCCCCTCCTGGGAAGCATTTAAGCATACTTGGAACAACTTGGTTATGTGAATCTACAAAATAATATATGAAGCTCACATTATATTTCTATTGGATAGCTCTGGCGTGGACCCATGCCTCCCTCCCCAGACTTGGTCCCACATGACTAGCCCGTGCCTACCCCAGGCCAACCTGGCCACCTGCCTCCCTGGTCCCACGAGAGCACCCGTCCCCCACGCGGTGGTGCACCCACATTGTTGATCATGAGGTGCATGATGGTCTTAGGCATGAGGTCCCGGACAGTCTTATTGACGATGGCCATGTATGAGTCCACCAAGTTCCGGATGGTCTCCACCTGCCGTTCCAGCTGTGGGTCCATGGAGTGCATGAAGTTGTCTGAGCCATTCTCCTCCGTCTCACTGGCCTGCCATTGAGGACAGGGCATCAGGATGGCTAGGCCCTCAAAGCCAGGTTCCAGGCATCCCCAGGGTCCCAGCCCCTTCAAGGATGCCTGGAACGCTAAGGTACAGAGAGAAGCAACTGGCCTGTACACAAAGACACCAGCTCCCCCATAGCTCTGGGTCTCTGGGCTCTGCCCACCCCAGTGCCTCTCAGGACCCCAGACCCTTATTCAGCCTTATCTTGGCTCTGACTCTAGTGCCTAGAATTTGCCTTACTTTCCCAGTCCATAAATTAGGAAAGGACATCTCCAAGCACCCTTCCTGATTCTAAAGGCCTGGCCAGATCTGTCGCCAGGCTAGAGATGCCTGGCAGAAGGTGAGAGAGGGACACACTCACTTTCTCTTTGTCCTGGGAGGCCCACACCAAAGCCATAGAGGTCACCACACCAGCATTACCATCGTCGCCGCCGCCACCAGCGAGCACAGCCGTAGCAGACACACACAGGAAAAGAGGAGGGACTGAGTAAACCCAGGGCACTGCACCCCAACTGTGAGGCAACTCTAGACATTGTCACAGTGAAAGAGGGTAGAAAAGTGAAGGCGGTCACAAGAAAGCATGATCATACGAAAGGGATGCCGGAAATGCCACCTGTGTCAGAGAAAGAGTCACGTAAAACTGCACTGGAGAAGGAAGGGAGGAAGGGTCAACTCTGATCCCAGCCCAGAGCAGGCAGGGGGAGGATCCCTGCTATTTCTGAGCCCAGTAAGAGCCCGAAAATATGGAATGGCTTGGCATCACTGTGGATGGCTTCCCCCGGAGCCCCTTATTTTAAGCAGCTTGCCCCTCCCCACCTCCCCTGCCACTCACCCCAACACGCTCAGGGTACACGCCAGCCCTCAGGAAGGAGGCCTTCCAGCTATCCACCTCCTCCTGTGTCTCGCAGGCCAGTTCCAGCTGCCGATAATCCTTGTAGACATTCCTGCAAGATGGGGCAGGTGGTGAGGGGAGATGGGGGGCAAAGCACATTCACCTTGGTGGTTAAGGGCGTGCGTGGACTGGGGTCATCGTGCCTGTGGGCCAATCCTGGCTTTCTTACTTGCCAGCTGTGGCAAGTCCCTTCTTCTCTCCCAGCCTTAGTTTTCTCGTCTGGAACATGGGTTAGTAATAACAATTCCTGCCTTTTAGGGTCATTGAGAGGATTTAGTGAAATCAGCAGTAAAATACTTTATTAGAAAGGGACTGAGCTCTCATTAAAGGGGCACCCATGACAGTGCAGCCCCTGGCTTAGATCTCAACCCCCATTGGCCCCCTCCCAGGCTGTCCCCTCTTGGCAGCTGTATTGAACCCTCATCTCTGAGTAGGAGAAAGTCTGCTAGAGTCAGCCCTGGGTTGGGAGGGGAGAGGCCTGGTACTGCCAGTATCTCATGCAGGGCAGGTACTAACCAAGTGATTGCAGAAGGACAGGAGGGGAGGAAGGAGGGAGGGAGGGAGAGAGAGAGACGGAGCGGGAGGGAGGAAAGGCAGGAAGGAGAAAGGAAGGGGTGGTGGGAGGGAGGCCAGGAACGAGATCTGGACATGAGTCTAGCACAGATTAGAAACTCAACAAATATTTGTCAAATGAATGACTTGCTGGGGAGCCTGGGGCAGATCTCTCTCCCTTCTGGATCTGTGGGCCCGTCTTTACTCCCCAGGGCCCCGTGGGAGCAGGCAGGCACCTCTGCTCCGTGTTGAAGAGGGCAAAGATGTGCTTGCTGGACATGAAGCCCTTCTCCACGTCCCGCACCTTCAGGTTGTCCACGGACAGCATGTATTTCTTCTCTTTCTCCTGGGGGAGAGGGAGGAGTGATGGGTGAGGTTGGTGCTGTCTGTGCTACGCCTCACTCCCTAAGGATGCTCCGTGTTGCGGCGCGGGGGGACCTGGGGCTGTAGACCACCAGCCCCCTTGCACTGCGCGGGCGCTGTCTGATGAAAGCCTGGCCACGGAGCCCTGGGTCTGCTGGCCACCTCGGCTCCCCACGGCGTTCGAGCCCTTCCCACCACCTCCGCATCCATGCCAGAGCTCAAGAGCCTGGGGTGGCGAGGCTGAGCTTGGCTCCCACATCCCGCCCCAAGCAAGCCCTGGACGCAAGCCAGGCCAGCCCCAGCCAGGGACCCCGCACTAGGCCTCTCTTGCCGCCAGCCTAGCCGATGGGGCCTGCTCTGGATAAGCCTCTGACTTCATTTCCTGACTGGAGAGACGGGGAGGGGGGGCGGCCACCAGGCCTGGCAGCTTCAAAGGGCTGGCTCAGCCCACTCCCCACAGCTGCCCATGTGTTAGCAATCAGGCACACAGCACAAGCCTGGAGATGGTGAGTGTGTGTGCAACGTGTGTGGTTGTATGTCGGTGCAAACATGTGCACGTCTGAGCATGTGTCATCTCACCACTGTGCGTGTGCCCATGTGTCCCTGTGTGTGCACGAGGGTGCCTGAGGAGGTGCCAGCCTGGCCGTGTGTGCATGTGAGCATGTGTGTACGTGTGCACAGTTTCGTAGGTGTGGCAACTGTAAATGTCCATGTGTCTGCATGAATGTACCTGCGGGACATGCGCTGTGGGTGCACATACTTACGTGCATATGCTTTTCGTAATGGGCTGAATCTGTGTGGTTTATCTGTGTCGTCTGGGAGGAGTTACGCTTATCTGTGGATGTCATGTGGGTGCCAGGCATGTGTGCACATGTGTGTATGTCTGGTGGGGGCTGACACGTGACTGTAGGCTCCTCTGTCCTACAGAGGGGAGGAGCTCAGGGATCTTCGGAGCAGGTACCCCAGGATGGGGCTCTGGGAGGAGGGGAGGGGTTTCTGCTGCCTGTACCCCACTAGCCAACCCAACACCACAGGGCCCACGCCCGGGGGCCCGGTGGGGGGTGACTGTGTGGGTTTGGAGGACTCGGGGCTTGGGCATGAGCCTCGCCACGGATCTCGGGTCGGGGGCTGGGTTTCGGAGGACCCTGCTCCGCGTCCTGGCGTCATCCTGCCCACCTCTCTCGGCCCCCCCACCCCCCTGGCCTGTCCAGCCACATAAAGCCCTCTTTACGCCAGGCGGGTGGCCGGGAGCCCCAGCGGGCGGCTGGGGGCGGAGAGGAGGAAGTTGCACGCGCGGCCGGGGAACATCTGGAAGCATTCGAGGGAGGCCCCGCCGCCACCCGCCCTGCGCTCTGCTCTGGGGTTGGACACTAGGTAGGAGCAGCCCCCTCCTTCCCGCAGGCCGGCCCGTCCCCAGGCCCCTCCTCCCCAGCCAGAGCTCCCGCTCACCCCTGCCACGTCAAAGGAGGCAGAAGGGGAGTCAGAGCAGAGAGGGGACCCCGGACTGGCTGGGCTGGGCTGGGGACCTTGCATCTCCAGGACATGGGGCCGAAGCTCTCACCCGACGGACAGACACGGCAGCCTGGATGGATCAGAGGACACCTCCACTCCGTCTACCCAGTGTTTAGACTATCTGTTCAGGACTTCCAAATTGTACAGTAGTCTGCACATTGGTTAGGCTGGGCTGGGTTAGACCCTCGGCACCGCCGCTGGAGAGCTGGAGCGGCCCCCGCGCGCCATCCCAGAACCGGAGCCTGGAGCCGGGGCAGGGGGCTTGGGGGGCACAGGGTGGGCTGGGAGGAGGCAACAGGGATGGGGGCGCCACCATGCTGTGGGACAGGGTGGGGCTGCTGATGGGTGGCGGAGGAAGAGTGAGAAGATGGGGGGTCAGTGAGGGCTGGGGATGTGGGCGGCCGCCTGTCTGCCCAGAGGATCACCCAAGTCCCAAAGACCAGACGGCTGGTGGCTGGGTGGAGAAGGGGGCCAGATCACCCTCCGCCCAGCCCGGACCACCTCCCTGTCCCCAGCTGTTTTAGGGCAAAAAGATCCACTCACAACCCAACACACACACACGCAACCTTACCTCGGCACGAACACACCTACAACTCGGAAACATACATTCCCACACTCGAATTTTAAATCACACATCCGTGTCCCAGGCACACACAAGTGCATGCACACACATGCGCACACAGACGCACACACCCGCTCACAATGGAACACCAGCCCTCTCCCATCCTTACATCCCCAACACATACAATACATATCCTCAAACATGCCACACGCACGCCCTCCCTCCTTAAGCCCACTCTCCACACATACACACAGACGCTTACACACCGGGCACGGGCACACATGCCTCAGGCACACATGGTCTGCCCCCAAACACACATGCGAACCCTCAAACACCGAACACGCCCCGACGCTTATACCCCAGACACTCTCCTGTCAAACACCCACACCCCACGTCCACAAGCCTCATGTACACCCTCACCTCCCAGCCCTCACTGCCCAGCCCTCCCCCACCCACACGTACACTCAATGCCGGGGTCACACTCGACTCAACTCGAAGTTCCACAGAGACCAGCCCCCCGACACACACACACACACACACACACACACACACACACATACAAGGATGGGGTCCCGCTCAGATATACTCCCTCCTCCCCCCAGTGTAGCCGGTCACTGGCCCCCAGCCCCAGGTCACACTGTCCCCTGGCCCTGTGCAAGGAACCTCAACACAGGAGCCCAAGGAGTGGTGGGGCACGGGCACGTCTAGGAAGGCTGCCCAGGCGGTAGAGCAGGAAGCGGTCCCCACACCCGTGCCCCGCACAGCCTCACGCTCCACCCTTCGAGGGGCCCCATGCTCTGGGAGAGGCCAGGGTTGGGGTAATGAGGTCCAGATGGCTTGGCGCCCCCGCCGGTGACGCCAGAGGGCCCCGCCCAAAGTGAGGAGGGGGGCCCTGCCTGGGGAGACTTGGAGGGGGCAGGGATCAAGGAGGGGGGCTTGGAGAGTGAAATCAGAGGCCACCGCCCCAGGCTCTGCTTCCCCATGGAGAGCACCTTCGCCTTCAACAGACCCCTCAGGAAGAAGGGGGTCCCTCCCCCCACTCCTCGGCCAGCTGGAGTTCATTACCACAAGCCCCCTCCCCCCCAGCCCTCCCTGCTCTCTCTGGTCACCTCTGGAATCCAGATGTGGAAGCCAAAGGGACTCGTTCTTAAAGGAGGCCAGCAGCAAGGAAGGGGGGTGGCTGGGCTTCTCTGTGCCCAGTGGGCAGGGAGGGGTTTGGGGTGGTGCCTCTGTGGGGCCCCATCGCTTCTCGCCCCTCTAGCTGGAGGCACCCTGGGCATCCCCCTTGGACTGCTGGGGGCTGGGGTGCTGGGGTGCAGGGGTTAACAGCGTGTCTGGCAGCTGGACTCGTGTGTGTCATGGGCCTGTGGAGGCCACAGAGTAAGAGGCACGCCCTGGAGCAAGAAAACAGGAAGGCTGCGGGGCTGGTGGGGTCAGGGAGGGATGCCCAGCACTGCTGCCCACCCCAGGGCGCTGAGCCCCAAGCTCCCCAGTCCTGCCAAGCCCTCTTCTCCATCCAGCCTGGATAAGCCCCCAGGATTGCCTGCCTCTGGTCCTGACCTCCCACCTCCACCCAGAGGTCTTTGATGGGAGTTTTAAATCCCCCTTTTGGGTGGTTCAGTCCACTCCGAGCCTGTGGTAGGGTCTCAGCCTGCCTCTGGCCACCAGCCAAACCCCTTGATGACCAGTGGCCCTTTACTTACCTCGTCATCCTTGTACCAGGACAGATTCTCGGCGGTCAGCACAAACCAATACTCCTTGGAGCCCCCCTTCATGATACCGATGTTGTTGATGGTCAGCCAGCCCTTCCGGATGACCTGGAGGGTGAGGGGTGGCAGGAAGTCAGTGGACAGAGGCCAGGATCCCCCATGGAGGATGGGGTGGGCAAAGAGAGACCCTCAAAAGCTCACCCCTCCCCCAGCTCTTCAAGGCCTGGCTGGTCAGAGAGGGTGGGGGCCAGACCTGCCCTGGTTTGAACCACAAGTGAACAGAGAGGAAGACAGAGGAAGGCAGAGGTCAGCTCAGGATAAAGAGCTTTCTGACAGAGCCATCTGAGTAGGGGACTGGTGGCCTTGGTAGGGGACGAGCTCCCCACTGCTAAAAAGTGTGCAAGCAGAGTTTAGGTGGCTGATTGGGCAAGATGACTCTGAGTATATTTTCAGGTTAACAGTCAGTTTATTCAAAGACTTTTTCTGACCTCAGGGACTTTGCACGTGCTTCTGTTGACTCTGCCTAGAAAGCACTTCCTCCTGTTTGCCTGGCAAATCCTACTCATCCTCTGGGTATGAGCTCAGAAGTCACATTCTCAGGCAGGCTCTCCCCGGCCCCCCATATAAGTCAGGACCCCTATTATAATCTCTCATCACTCCCTTAAGCTTTCTTCTATGACAATGACTGGAATTTTGAATTTGTGTGCGTGTCTGTATGTGTGTGATTATCTGTTGATGTCAGTCTGTCTTGCTAAATTGTGAACTCTCTCCCTCACTGGTGTATCCCAGCACTTGGCAGAGTGCTAGGCAAACAGTAAGTGATCAGTAAATATTTGTGGCATGAATACATGAATGCTGTAATAGTAGGGTTCTAAGAGTCTTTGCCTCCAAGCCCCAGGACAGGGCTGCGGTGGTAGAGAACAGACGCGGCGGGGAGGGGCTGAGCACAAATTGCCCAGACTCCTCGTCCGGGAGAAGCCCAGAGTAACAGGCAAAGGTCCCTTTTCACAGCAGGAAGCAGCTGTCTCTGGGACTGTCCTCAGCGACTGACGCAGATTAGGGCCTGTGGATTCTGCTCCAAGGGCAGGGACACTGACCAGACCCTGGTGGTGGGACAGATACTTCTGCTCCCTCCCCCAGCCCTGGCCTCCCTGGCGTCTCCCCTGAGCATCGGGAGAAGACTGAGCAGCCTGGGGCTGGCAGGAAAGCCCTCTGGGGTCAAGCCTGCTTCTAAGGCCCTCAAAGCACGCCCCCCACCCCCCGCCCCCACTCCCAGCCCTCCTTAAACCTCTCTGGTTTCCCTGAGAACCTTGCAGAGAACCCAGGTCACACAGCGGATCACAGCTAGTAGCTGCCTTAGTCATTAACAGGGATGTGGTAGCCAAGTGCCTCATGACCACCCTCTCACCCTGTCCCGGTCTGGAGAGGATCCCCTCAGCATCTTGTCACTGTCTTTGGAATTGAGTCTGAATGCCACTCCCTGGCCCTCCATCTCCCCAGTCTGACCAACAGACCTCTCCACCCTGCTCCCGCCCTCACTCCTGTCCTCCCTCGGCCACCCCCAGCTCTGCCCTCCTCCCTGCTCACCCAAAACCCCCTTCCAGAGCCCCAGCACCAGGGACCTCCTGTTCCCCCCACTCCCACCTTGCCTGGGGCCTGACTACAAGCCCAGGCTTCCAAGGGGCAGGGCCAGAGTCTGACTCCTGTCCAGGGGCCAGCACAGTACAGGCACCAGTGAGTGTTTG